AACATCGACGGGAACGAAATTTCGAAAAAATACCTTTTTCGGAGTTGCCTGACGAGACGATGGTAATTAACGACGAAAAGTTCCGTCGTTTCCAACGGAAGTACGACCATTTCCCAAACGCACGAAAAGTTGTTGAAAAGAAATGCGAAGTTTCAACGTATCTTGCGCTTTCAATACTAAAATTTCGATTTATAGTTGCACAACTTTGGGCAAGTTGTCATAAAACTCGTTGTAAAAAGTACGTTGACTGGAAATTTTCGCAATGTATCAAGCTACGATGATTACGTGTTGATCATTAACATTTCTTTTGTTGTGAATTTTGCCGTCAATTCGTTGTAATTTAGCACTAAAACAGATCGGTGATTTGAAACACTGTATTTATAACGTTTCAATATAGAAAATGAAAGACTGCCTAAAAGATTACAAAAAACAGGCGTGTATATAATATGTATTATATTATATTGTATCAAATTTAGTATAATGGATATTATAATTATATCCATTACACTAAATTATACTAAATTTAATATAATTTATAATATAATTATAATATCCATTTAAATATAATTTAGTATAATTTATAATATATTATAACTATATTATAAATATTATATTATAATAATATTATAAATTATATTAAATTTAGTATTATAATAATTTAGTATTATTTATAATATATATAATTATGTTATAAATTATATTAAATTTAGTATAATTTATTATAATGGATATTATAATTATAACCATTATAATAAATTATACTAAATTTAATATGATTTATAATATAATTTTAATATCCATTTAAATATAATTTAGTATAATTTATAATATAATTACAATACCTAGTGTAATGAATATTTATTACACTGGGTATTATATTATTTAGTATAATTATATTATAAAATAATATAATGATATAATAATATATACGATAATATAATATAATAGACATTATATATAATAAATGTTATATATTATTATAATCATCAAACGAAGGTGTAAAATTCATCTATGACAGCCACGGATAAACTTTTCTTTTCACCCTGTATACTTTTACGTGATCAGTGCAAAATATATTAAGATAGTAACAGCCAATTGGAAAGAGTCTAATTTATTAATTTATAGTATAATTTATAATTTATAAAATTATTTATTTGTATTTATTAACTATATTTATTTTTAATATATTGTATAATATAATTAATTAATGTTATAATTATAATTATATTATAATTGTATTTATATTTAGTTATTGCATTTTATTTTTCAATTACATTTAACATTCATTTTTCATATTTATTACTTCATAATCCGTTATTTATAATAATAATAACAATAATATTTAAATTATTACTATTACTAATAGAAATAATAGAAACAGTAGTAATAACAGAAATTATTACTATTACAAGTAGAAATAGTTTATTAACAACGTAAACGAGCCTAAAAGAAAGAACGCAGAGCGGAAGGAAATAGTCGACGCGTGAACTCGACGAAAGAACAACCGTCATTGAATTACCCGTCGGACTCGATCGGTTGATTTTGGAAAAAAAATGACGAAAGAATAATCTCTGTTTCGGTGAGAATGATAGAAAGGCAACGGACAGGTGCAACAAAACTTTCTTCATTTACAAGCCTCGTTGGTCTCGTGGTGTTATTGCTGCTTCTTGGAGTGATTTGAACGCAAGAAGATTTCCCGCGAGAAGAGTTTTAGGTTAGGTTAGGTTTTTTGAAAGAAGGTGGGGATAGCTCAGTAGGTGGGGATAGCTCAGTCGGTAAAGTATCAGACTCTTAATCTGAGGGTCCAGGGTTCGAGTCCCTGTTTAGGCGAAAAAAAAAAAGTTGTCCTTTAGGACAAACAGCACGGGAGAGCTCTGTGTGTTGTATAAAAAGGTCCCGGAGCTCTACCAACGTGCGGAGGAGACTCAGTCGGTAAGAATTCGACATTACCTGGGTCTTCCTTTAAAAGATTCAGGTGTCTTATGAAGATTTCCTCCACGTTGAAAAAAAAAAAAAAAAAAAAGGTTTTTTGAAAGAGGTACCATACGTACCTCGACGTAACACAAGGGAATACGAAGGAAGAAGCTAAAGAATGAAGAGGAATGGCGAGAAAAAGAAATTTACCAGCAGTTGAAGGGCGTGAGATCGGCGACGTTCCAGATGCTAGCGGCCTCGCGTATCTGCAGGAAAATGGCGACCCCGAGATTGACGAAGGGCGCGCCCCAGGCGAACAGGCTGTACTTCAAATAGGTTGGCGGATCGTCGCGGCGCGGGATCGAGGCGACGCTCGCGTAAAGATGATGGCACATCGCGGCCAGCCAACAGACCACCGTCATCCGCAGGTACTGCAAACTCAGCCCCAGGGAAATGCACAGCTCCGAGTCCTGCGAACACCAGGAGGGCCACTTTATTCTCTGCTTTCTCATTTTCTCGCTCTTAATTTTCGGAAGAAGTTTCGAGCGAACAGTAGCCTCGAGGGGATAAGTTCAGACTTCCCTTCGTAGACTATATGCAAAATTGACTTTGATCTTGAGTGTTTTTCTTTTTTTTTTTTTTGCATTGTATTCTACTCATCCAAGGAATCTATAGGTTGCAACCTAATAATCCTCTTGCAAAAAAAGTTTCTTAATCATTTAACACTGCGTCCTAACAGCGACTTTATGATTCTGGACGTAATTTTCGCATTTGGTTTCACCAACATTTGATTCATCATCATCGGTGTGAGTCTAAATAATCAAATGACAAAACTGTTAACATTATTCGAAATAAAAACACGTGAGAACCACAGATAATCATAAAGTCGCTGTTAGAACGCACGCGTGTTAACTTTTTTGCCACTTTCCAAGAGAACTATCAGGTTGCGACTTATGGTTCCTTGGAAGAGTTTTATCTTCGTGACGAGTAGAATAGGTTTCATTGGTCATAATTTAGAAGCTAAAGAAGAAGGCAATCTGACAAACTACGGGAGAGTCGTACAGTACAAATTTTTCTATAATTTGGCCGATTCTCGATGAAAATCAAGCTTTGAAAAGACAAAAGAGAAAAAAACAACGCTTAACAAAAGAGTAGAAACTCAAGTTTTTTTTAAATTTTATCACCTCGTAATTGGCAACGTACCAAAAACCATCGTCAACCAAGTACCGAACATTCAAATGGTAGGTTTTAAAGTCTGTTATCGTTAATAATGTCAGCAAAGCGACATTCAAATGGGACGGAACTTTTATTTAAATGTCTTTGCAGATATCACAGGGCAAAAGGATCGAAGTTTTTTTTCCTGCTGGAACGCGGAAAGCTTCATAGTCATTTTCTCTTCGAGCAGCATTTTCAAAGCGGATTTCCTGCGTCTATTTCCCTCTTTTCCTCTTTAACTTTAGACATTTTTTTTTTTTTTT